GCTGGGGGGATGGGGGGCGAGGGGGGAGCTCGGGCCGTTCTGGTCCCGGGCGGACCAGTTGCCTCATCGGGAGAAAACCTTTCGCTTGAAAACCATCCACAAGGTTGGCATCCGCTCCCCGGGGGTTAAGACAACAGGCACGTCCTTTCCAAGTAGAGCCTGGAGCATGAGTCACAAGCCAAACATTTCTTTAAAATGGCAACACGGGCCTTTGGCTTGTTGCTAAACGATTTGGCAAAAACAACGTATTTCACAAGCCGTTAGGGGACGTGTCCTTTTGGCCAATTCCGAGGTGTTTTTTCTGTGTCTGAATTGAAGTTGAATGTTGCTGTTTTCTCCCTGGAACTAATGAACTGTTCGGTTTGGTTTCTCTTGGTTTTGTTTTTCTCTTGCCTTCCACCTGGGAGCAGGCAGGTACGGTTCTCCCCTAGAGCAGTAGCTACGGCAGCAGTAAGCGCAGTTCTGTCATTGGGTGCCCGTGATTTCTGTCTCTGACTGTCCCCTCTTCCCTCCTGCCCCGACCGCACCAGCCGCCCACGCTCCCCTAACGACCTGCTGGCCCTGTTCCGCTACCCGAGGGACCCCTACACCGTGGAGCAGGCGCGCGCCGGCGAGATATTCGAGCGGACGCTGCAGCTGATCCAGGAGCACGTGCAGGGCGGCCTCATGGTCGACCTCAACGGAACCAGTCAGTACCCAGGCTCCTCCCTGCATCTTCCTGGGGAGTGGGTGTCGCACCCCCTCCTCGGTGCCTTCTGAGGGGCGTGTCTGTGAAGGGCGCAGTCGGGTGACAGCGAGGGTCCTGTAGGCCCCACCTCGGGTAACAGGGACCCTCTGGGATATGAGCTGGGCGGTCCCTGCCCACTGGCTGTGACCCAAGGTCCCCGGGCAAAGGAGGTTTGAGGGAGGACTTTGCAGGACAACTGCTGTGTAGGTGGCGCGGTGTCTGTGCTGCTGTCGGGAAGGGTGTGTGTGGAGCTCCCGCCGCTGTCCTGGGTGCTGATGGGTGGCATGGGTGACTGCCACCCTGTCACTGTGCCCCTGGCACGTGGCATTGCCCATCAGTGACAGGAGCCTGTGCCAGGCAGGAGTGCCAGAGGTGCTGTTGGATGGTGGTGACCGGGTGTTACTGTGCAACAGCGTCGCTCTCACCAGCAGCTGTGCGTTCAGGGTTGTGCTGCTGGGGACAGTCCCGGAAGCAGCTGACCTGAGGACGCGGTGCCAGGTGATCCGAGATCCTCTGCTCCCGGCTTTCCGGTGGTTTCTACCTTGTCTTTGAGGAGCGTCTTTTGCCATCAGGACACAGCGTTACTCAGGACTGAACGCTATTCCTCCGGACAAGTGCGCGCGGTGAGGGAAGGCGTCTGGGACCAGTCCGAGCCCAGTGTCCTGGCGGCCAGCTGTGTGCAGATGCCTCCTGCTTCTCCATCCTGGGGCCCCGGCCCCTCGGGGTCATCTCCACTGGTCTCTAGGCGACCGCCAGCCTCCGCTCCCAGCACCCGGAGAAGCGTCAGAACCCGGCCATTCTGCCCAGATCTCTGCCGGGCACTCGCTGCCGACTGTCGGGGTCAGGGCTGGGCAGGGGTGTCTGTGGAACGGTACTGGAGGGAGGTGGCCATTGGGGACCAGGTGCCCTGGTGAGAGGGTGCGTCTCGCTGTGAAGGCAGAGGTGACCGTCACTCAGCCTGGCTGCAGTGGACGCTCACACAGGTGTCCACTGAGACGTTAACTGCAGGCCTGCCTGTGTCCTGGTTCTGTGACCTGGGAGTGGTACCTCGTGGGGAACAGACTGACTTCCCCAATAACAGCACCTTCCAGGCCCGGTCCCGCCTCGAAGCGGTCGCTTGTCTACCCCTTAGTCTTGGATACTAACTTACCTCAGTCAGCAGTTCCACCTGTACCCAGCGGCCTGCATTCTGAGGTCGCTTTTATATATTTCTGAAGTGAGCTAGCCTGAAGAACATGGCTGAAGTGGCAGGTTGCAGCCTTCCTGGTGAGCGTCTCCTTTCGCAGACGTGCTACCTGCGTCTGCAGACAGGTCTGCGTTTTATCGGTGAACGTCCAGACGCTCTGGTCCAAGTTCACGGGCTGCTGTGTCTGCGTCCACCCGGTGCTGGCTGTTCAGCAGTACAGACACCGAATCATACAGCCCAGGGGATTCTGGGAGGCAGCCCAGGAGCTGCCGCTGACCCCGCGGCCACCGCGCAGGCAGAGGGGCTGCACAGGGAAGCACCTTGGGCCCTGGTGACGTGGGTGGGAGCCGGTGTTCGGTGTTCAAGGCTGAGAATGGAGAGATTTCATGGGGACTGTGAGTGAGGCAGGCGTGGCAGTGTCCCTGCTGATCTCGGGAAGTGGCCGCCCACCAAGCCTTCCGTCCGGGTGAGCGTGGCCCTGGGCGGCTGGATCCCAGTGTCACATCCCTGGCCTGTGGGGTTTCCTCCCGCCGGGTCCTCACCGCATCCATGTGGGGGTTTCGAACACGGCCCTACAACAGGGAGTCTGTGTCTGTCAAGTGTATGAGACTGGGCCTGGGTCCAAGAGATGCTTGGAAGAGGATGCGCTGGTGACCGAGATCTCGCGGTGCCGGCCAGTGTGGGGGAGCGCAGGTGCCGCTGTGAGCGCGCTGGAGATGGGAGCTGTTCTGCTGGCCTTCACGTGCGCCCCTGGTGCCTTAGCCCCCTGCGTG